ACCAGCCCACCAACACCATGCTGATCTGTGAAAAAAAGCAAAAAGCAAAAATGAGCTTTGGCATGGCAACATATTGTAAAACAATTTCTGTTGATATTATCCTACCATGACAGTTAACAGTTATGCCACTGCTGCCCATTTGCCTATAAAAGGCTTATTTTGTTTGAATATAGAAGGTGGTGTGTAGGAACTAAAATATTTCAGTGATACAGTATTTCTGCTGTGCGCCACCTTGACGGATCCCCATGGGATGATGCGGCGCACTTTACGCTGATAAGACTATTCTTTGCCATGTTATCAAATCAAATTGTATTTGTCACATGCGCCGAATACAACCTTACCGTGAAATGCTTACTTACAAGCCCTTAACCAACAATGCAGTTCAAGAAATAGAGATAAGAAAATATTTACTAAATAAAGTAAAGTAAAAAATTAAATTAAAAGTAACACAATAAAATAACAATAACGAGGCTATATACAGGGGGTACCGGTACCGAGTCAATGTGCGGGGGTACAGGTTAGTCGAGGTCATTTGTACATGTAGGTAGGGGTAAAGTGACTATGCATAGATAATAAACAGTGAGTAGCAGCAGTGTAAAAACAAAGGGAGGGGGTCAATGTAAATAGTCCGGGTGGCCATTTGATTAATTGTTCAGCAGTCTTATGGCTTGGGGGTTAGAAGCTGTTAAGGAGCCTTTTAGACCTAGACTTGGCGCTCTGGTACCGCTTGCTGTGCGGTAGCAGAGAGAACAGTCTATGACTTGGGTGAATAGAGTCTTTGAATTTTTGGGGGGTCTTCCTCTGACACCGCCTAGTATATAGGTCACGGATGGCAGGAAGCTTGGCCCCAGTGATGTACTGGGCCGTACGCACTACCCTCTGTAGTGCCTTGCGGTCGGAGGCCGAGCATTTGCCATACCAGGCGGTGATGCAACCGGTCAGGATGCTCTCGATGGTGCAGCTGTATAACTTTTGAGGTAGGGTATATACAGCGTTAGAGATAGGGTATATACAGCAAAAACAAACATTAGGCCGGGTCATTTTCATCCGAAATATGCGTCCTAGGGTTAACTTAATACGTTACCCATAATGCACTTTAGTGTTTTAAAGCTATACCCATACTTTACCAACACTATGAAGAATAGCTTAGCCATACTCATTGATAGCCTAATACTAGTATATACTTTCATAAACTTTTGGTGAATTTACGAGGCATTGCTAGACAAGACATTGATAGATACAGATGACCAAGATATAGCCTATGCGCACGGTTCTCTGTCTGCCTGCCCCGATTCCCTCTCTCCCTCGCCTGCTCCTCTTTCTCTTCGCTATGAAAAACGCTAGCGTGTGTTTGGTCTTCGGTCTGTTGCGTGTAGAATAGCTCAGCCTACTCATTGATAGACCCTACTTTAGTGAACTTGAGCGAGACATTGCAAGCCAAGAAATCGCAAAATACAGCATTGCGATAGCCTATAGCTCTTTCTTTTACTGTGAAAGATGCGAGAGTTTGTGTTCTCGAAGTAGACTACGGAAAATAGTTTCCTCCATTGCAAAAAATACTGAATCTTAGGAGTCGAGAAGCTTGACACCCAAAAATGGGAGTCGACGGTCAACGAGTCGAGGAATCGATTATTTTGGAGTCGACTCCCAACCACTAAACTACAGCAAGGAAGCTACACTATATACATAAAAGTATGCGGACACCCCTTCAAATGAGTGGATTCGGCTATTTCAGCCACACCCGTTGCTGATGGGTATAAAATCGAAAATGAGTGGATTCGGCTATTTCAGCCACACCCGTTGTTGACAGGTGTATAAAATCGAGCACACCGCCATGCAATCTCCATAGACAAACATTGACAGTAGAATGGCCTTACTGAAGAGCTCGGTGACTTTCAACGTGGCACCTTCATAGGATGCCACCTTTCCAACAAGTCAGTTTGTCAAATTTCTGCCCTGGTCAACTGTAAGTGATGTTATTGTGAAGTGGAAACGTCTAGGAGCAACAACGACTCGGCCACGAAGTGGTAGGCCACTCAAGTTCACAGAACGGGACTGCCGAGTGCTGAAGCGCGTAGTTCATAAAATAATCTGTCCTCGGTTGCAACACTCACTACTGTGTTCTAAACTGCCTCTAGAAGCAACGTCAGCACATGAACTGTTCATCTGGAGCTTCATGAAATGGGTTTCCATGGCCGAGCAGCCGCACACAAGCCTAAGATCACCATGCGCAATGCCAAGCGTCGGCTGGAGTGGTGTAAAGCTCACCGCCATTGGACTCTGGAGCAGTGGACTGGTCCATACAGAAATGGTTTGTCGAAATCGATGTGGAAGAACTTGACTGGCCTGCATCGAACACCTTTGGGATGAATTGGAATGCCGACTGCGAGACAGGCGTAATCACCGAACATCAGTGCCCGACCTCACTAATGCTTGTGGCTGAATGGAAGCAAGTCCCCGCAGCAATGTTCCAACATCTAGTGGAAAGCCTTCCCAGAAGAGTTGAGGCTGTTATAGCAGCAACTCCATATTAATGCCCATGATTTTGGAATGAGATGTTTGACGAACAGGTGTCCACATACTTTTGGTCATGTAGCGTAGTTAGCAAACCAGCTTTCCCGCCTTGTTTACTAGCTAGGTAACTTAGCATCTGACTGAAGGTAACATTACCCAGAGTAGCTAACGTTAACTGCTAGAGAAAAAATAGTTTGCTACGTTTGCTATCTAGTTACATACTGTACATACTGTAACTAGTTACACGTGCACACACCAATGACTAGCTAAGCATCAGCAGTAGATAGGTACTGGTAACTTTGTCACAGAAGCAAATTGGTGGTTAAAATATCGAATTCAAATTGTTATAAATTCAGTTGTTAAATTATGCACCCATAAGATTTCAGGCCGTTTTCAGTCATATTCTGCCTATGTCAAATAGCGGCCACAACGGATAGACCTGATATCACCCATAATTCGACGTCCATGGACTTCACGTGCTGAGTGGGCTGTTAGTTTTATACAAATAATTGTAAATGTTCAGTTATAAAACTGATTGTTTATTTATGATGAAAAGTATTGATGATGGGTGAACTGTTGCTTCATGTCTTGTATGTGTGCGCTTACTGTGACTGTCACCCTGGTATTGTCTACTAGGTAGCTAGCTACTTCCCACGACGTTGCCGGACGGTAGTGCTTGTCAAGTGGGAGCGAAGGGCACTGTCCCCCAGTGTTGTTGTTGCCGTTTTGTTGTAGATCATGGGTAGTGGGTTCGATTCCCGGGTCCATCCATATGTAAAATGTATGCATGACCGTAAGTCGATTTGGATAAAAGCGTCTGCTAAATGCCATATATTATGCCCTCCCCATTGAGTAGTAGACTGTATGTATCAAGGTGACATCTAGATGGTTATCAATATTAGTTATTTATTGTGTAGGCTGCTATCCTACCTGAAATAAAATTATGTGTGAGGAAGAAAATTGCCACGTAGCTACCGGCGACACTACCATGATACATAGTAGGAGCCACTTCATGTCCGCAGGCACAACACCAGTCGTTGTGGTGCAGCCCAATCAGCCACGCAAAACGGTCTTGAGTGACAACAAATCTGCCCACTTAGCTGATTCGCTTGCCATACACCCACTCCTTTCGACACACCCACTCGCCCAAACTCCGGTCGCCATATTGGGCTGCAGCTACCCATACTTGGTTAAGAGTGTTGGGCCAGTAACCGAAATGTTGCTGATTCGAATCCCCGAGCCGACTAGGTGAAAAATCTGTCGATCTGCTCTTGAGCAAGGCACTGGCCTGCATCGAACACCTTTAACTCCTGTAAATTGCTCTGGATAAGAGCGTCAGCTAAATGACAAAAAATGTAAATCTTGCTCAGTCTACATTAACATTTGCATTTTAGTAATTTAGCAGACGCTCTTATCCAGAGCGACTTACAGTTAGTGAGTGCATACATTTTCATACTACCTTTAAATTGAAGTTAATCTCAATATGACCTGCCAGATACAGAAACCCCATTAGAAGAAAAAACTTGAAAACCAAACCCCATTACATTTTTGCCCATAATTGTGAGGTAAAAAAAAAACTTAACATAAGTCATGATGGGTTTTATTTTTTTAGTTAGTTCTGGAGTCAAATATACGTTTCACTATAGCTTTTAGTTTTTCAAACGGGGTTTGTTAATTATTTTATTTCAGTTTACTAAATTGTTTTTTCATGATTCGTTTTTGTTTCAATTTTAGTTTACTATAATAACCTTGGTCCATACTGTCTATACACACCATGTTTTTATATTCCGGACTCTGACATTGCTAGTTCTGATATTGCTCGTTGTTCTTAATTTCTTGTTTTTAACTTCTTCTAATACAATATTTGTGTATTAGAATTGTACTGTTAGACAGTTACTGCACTACTGGAGCTCGAAACATAAGCAGTTCGCTGCACCTGCTTTAACATCTGCTAATATGTGTAGGCGATAAATAAACTTTGATTTGACACGCCATTACATTATATAGTATTTATAAAGTGCTTGTGTCCCAAAGAAAACAAACCCTAATTTCTCAAGTCAATCAGTCCCATATATAGCCTAATAGGTCACTGTATTTCCGGTGCCTACATCTATAAAGAAGCTATACAGTGATTGATAATGTATACTTATTTGACTGTATGCTATAGCTTAAATTACTTATTGCTTGGATACACAGTACAGACAGACAGTAAAGATGGGGGTGATGCATGTAATACAGGAAAGTTAAAGAGGGTAGCCTATATTTAATTGGAAATGGCACGATAAAAATGTAATAGAAGAGAAGATAATAGATACAAATAAATACGAATACATCATGCATTCATAATTCCAAGAAGGTAAAAAATTGTCTGCAAACCAGCAGAGCAGACATGGCTATTAGCTAGATTATAGCTAATGATGAAATAGCTACATTTTCTGAATTGTGGCTACATTAGAGTCAATCAACTGAAAGCCAAATGGTATAATTTCAAGCAAGACAGAGGGGCAATTAAAAAAGATTTCTCTCCACTGTCCTCCTTGTGTGATGTCACCAGTGGCAGAACTGTTGTAATTGACTTGGTAGGGGTTGATCATTTCGTGCCCTGGTGTAGCCTCCCGTGCTCGAAAGTAGAAGGGAGTAGCATCTTTTACCGAGGCGATCGTGGCTCCCGAGGCCGCGATCGAGTACCGCCAAGCCGGACATCTCACGCCGGAAAATATGGAGGCTGTAGCCGACGAGCTGCGGGCCGGCTCTCAGATTCCGGTTACTATCGATCAAATAGTTAACGATACACTAGTGGTTACGCTAACCTATCAAGAAAGGAGCTACATGGGGATATTACTCGATTGCAACAAAAAGTGAGTCTTATTTTTTTCGAATAATGTTATACATTTATCACAAAGTAATTATCTAGCTAACGTTATCCTGCTAGTGTTAGCTGGCTAATGTAGCTAGATAGCTACATGGGCCTTCATACAAAATACTCCAAGGGGGTTTAGCTAACTTGCTAGTTAGTTAGCCAGCTAACGTTAACAGATTTGCTCACTTTTACAGCCAACATATTAATAGCATATAAACACGTGTATCACTACTATGAAACTTGGATAAAGCCAAAAACCATGTGAAAGTAACATGCGATGGGCATTTCAAGAAAAATTATGCCAACGTGGGTACCACAGACGGTTAGTATAGATATATTTGTGGGTACCTTAATACCTCATTGTTAGCTTAGCTATCAAGCTAGTTCACTGTTTGCTAGATTTAGACTGGCAACAATGTATCCAACTATGGCAGGCCTTGCTGAAACACCCTTTCTCATATTACACTTTTGTATATGCATTCTTATAATTCATCGATCAACCTACATCATGTTTTAATAGTTAGGCCTATGTAAAGTGATGGGCATCACACCATTTAATAATTTAGCCGACTTCTGGTGCCTTTACTGTAGGCCTAGGTTGAAACTCACAAAGTCATAGAATTGTACCCTTATAATGATACAATTAGGTCTATTTATAAATGATTGACCTGAAACTCAAAATAAGAGATTATACAGCTGTTAAAGATGGCACTCGTTGTTGAGTTATCAAGGAGGTTACAGACACCAGCAAAACTAGGCTATAGGCCTACTTTGTGCTTGACAAAGGGAACTAGAGTAGACAATGTTGGCTAGAAATCACATTTAGGCCTATGTATAGGGTGTTAACAATGGGTAGCCTAAGGTATAACATTTTCTTCGAATGATTGGTATTAATATGGGGCATGTGTTATCTGGCATCACACCAGGACTCTAGTCACATGTTCTGGCCTTGTGTTGCACTAGCACAGCACAGTGCAGTGAGTGCAACTTTAAATTCCACTGGGTTTATTTATTTATTGTCAGCATCAGAATCTTAACAGCTTTTCCTGTAAGTAGGCCTACATGTTCATGTGATCAATCACTCCAAATGCCCTGAGATTCACCTTCCCCTGTGGCTTAAACAAAGAACAGTGTTTTGGCATACAGGCCTATTTTGGCTTGTCGGTGTCAAAATGTGAGTTCTTCTTCCTTTAGGTTTATAAAAATGCATTTCCCTTCATTGTGTGTCTCCAGTTTCCATGTCATCTGTACTTTTTTGCAGGATCTCTTTATTTGGTATACATGATTAAATGGCAACAGTGTTTGAGTCATGGCCGGTTAACCGCTATGTCCTTGTATACAGCCTAGGCCAGGACTTTCTGTACTGCCTGTGTCAATCATTGCGACGGCTGAGATTTTGTTGCTCAAGAAGGGCCTTTAAAGGTCTCCCCCAAAGCACAGGAAACGGGCCTTGCTGAGCCGCTTTATAAAAAGGTGCCAATAGCTGCTCATGGGGAAACGCCTTTCGGGCTTCCCAAATGTGTTTTAATTAATATTCTCATAACACACAAGCTCCCAGCAGACATTGATGTGAAAACAAGTGAATCCCCTGGCTCTCTCCGGGTCCCGATTGATTCATGGGATTGTTTTTGTTCAGTCAGATGGAGTGGAGGGGGGCTCCTGGGTATCCTGTAGTCTCTTTGTCTGCTGTCTCTGACAGCAGAGCACAGCCATGTTGCTGCTGCTGCCTTAGCTGCTGTCAGCTACCTTTCAAGGGGCTGCTTAGAGAAGCCAGGCTTGGACGCATTACATCTGCAGGTCCACTGGCATGACAAGGAACGTGAATTTACTGAGAAAACACACTCCAGCTCTTTCAGTTTGTAGCACACGGCTGGAGGGCAGGCTATAGGCTAGCTAGACAACGACCTGCTTGCTTGCTGTCTCCCAACCCCCACTTCAGTAGAAACCCTAATATAGGTGATGAGTTGAAAGTGCAATGTTCTAACAAAGGAAAATATTTTTTGATGTTGCCTTTTTTATAGTATTGAAATAATTGGGACATGAAAACTACACTGATTAGGTTAATTCATTAGGAATTTGGAAGTGGGTTTTGTAAACTACCTTGTTCACAGCATTAACATATGTTGTAAGTAGCACTTAGCATCTGTTGTTTGATTATTGTGTCTTCTACACGAACTGAAGTGTTGCAACCATAAGGGCTTTCATAAGTGGTCCGACAGGGTCAAAGGAGTGCATCTGTTGCACATAGATTTAGTTGAGTTAATGTTCTTGAACAGGAACTTAGTGAATTGAAGAGTTGGAATTCCTGCTTTATTCACAAGGAGAATGTTGAGTGCAAACACTCAGAAGCTACAAAACATACTAAAGTATTTATTTTCACTGTTTTCTTATAGGACTGGGCTTTTCTGCCTACCAGATGTCACGACAAAGCCAATGGAGTGCCCTGCATTGAAACCTGGTTGTGAAATCCCCGAAGTCCTGACAGCGGAGCCGGTGACTAAACCACCCAGCCAGGCTTCACATCATAGACCAAAGGATGAAAACACGCTCCCTGAAAATGATCCACTAGGTGCCCATCTCCCTGCCCCTCTGCCCACACCAGTGCCCGCCGGGCAGGCTCCATACCCTCCTTATTTTGAAGGAGCTCCCTTCCCTCAGCCCATATGGGTGCGCCACAGCTATGGTCAATGGGTACCTCAGCCACCACCGCGAACAATCAAGAGGAAGAAGAGGCGGACCCGAGAGCCCGGGCAGATGACCATGAGCACCATCAGACTCCGCCCCCGGCAGGTGTTGTGCGAGAAGTGTAAGAACACGCTGAACAGTGACGAGGACAGTAAAGATGGGATGCCTACCACCAAGACGTCTAGAAAAGAGAACGCGCCATACAGCGATGAAGACTCCAAAGAGGGGTCCATCAAGTTGGCCAGGAAAGAGGATGCAGACGCCACCAAGGATAACAACAAGAGACGGGAGAACGGCCCCACTGGCTACGACGGCAAGCGGCTCCGGAAGGACAAAAGGGATGAGGAACCAAAGTTCCCTGCAGCGGACATCATTCCCCACAGCCCAGTCATCAAGATTTCGTACAGCACTCCGCAAGCCAAGGTCGAGGTCATGAAGATCCCAGCTCGGGTCCATGGCTCCGTCAAGCCCTTCTGCCCCAAGCAACTGATGCAGAACGGCCTGAGAGACCACCAGGGCAAGGTGCCTGAGACCACCACCCTAACCCAGACTCAGGAGCAGCGCCACATCCTGGACGCCACCAGGACGGGCCTGACAGTGTCCATTCCCAAACTCAAGCTCCCCAGGCCCCTAACAGCCAGCCTGGACCTCCCCTCCCCAAAGATCCGCGTGACGACCCTGGGGGACGGAGAGGACAGCCTGACGGTGTACGAGGCAGAGCTGGTAGAGAGGTCAAGGAAGAAAGGCCCCAGGGTGCCAGTCCCTGGTCCCCTGCCCCACTCGGAGGACTCTGAGGAGAAGACCCCCATGGAGCTGTGGTCAGGGAGCTCCGGAGAGGAGGCAGACCGAGGCCACAGTGACCTCACGCTGCTCATCAACTTCCGCAAGAGGAAGGCGGACTCCTCCAGCCTGTCTGTGTGCAGCACCGATAGCCTGGACGAATCAAAATCCTTCAGCTCAGACGGCACGCCCCCGGAGCTGTGCGACCTGGCTCCCGGAGAGCACATCTCATCTGTGTCTTCCTCGTCGATCTCGCAAGACAACAGCAAGACTGTGCCGCCGCTCACCGTGCGCCTGCACACGCGCAGCATGACCAAGTGTGTGACGGAGGAGGGCCATGCGGTGACCGTGGGAGACGTGGTGTGGGGGAAGATCCATGGGTTCCCCTGGTGGCCGGCGAGGGTGCTCCACATCAGCGGCAGCCGCAAAGAGGAGTCTGTTAACTGCGAAGCCCAGTGGCCAGAGGCTAAGGTGGCCTGGTTTGGCTCACCCACTACCTCCCAGCTCTCCGTTGCCAAACTCTCTCCCTTCCGGGAGTTTTTCAGGTCGCGGTTCAACCGCAAGAAGAAAGGGATGTACCGGCGAGCCATTGTGGAAGCTGCCAAGGCTGTGGGCCACATGAGCCCCGAGATCACCTCTCTACTCACCTCACACTGCGAAACGTAGGTGAGTCCACAACACTCAGACAATTTGAGTTTGTTCACTAAATACACAGTAGTCCGGTACCTTGGATTAATGCTACATGCTGGGCAATGGTTTGGGCACTGAGCTCATTCAAATCTTAATGCAGAATACACCTTCTCGTTGAATGCCTAAACTACGTTTTTGCTCACCACACCCTTGTATGGTAAAATATTCTTAATTGAGTGATTTTGTTTGACTGAACCCAGGGACGTATGATTTGGTCTCAGTCTGCCTACCACTAGTTGTCATAAAACATTATTAGGCCTGATCATATGAATCGAAAGCACAAGCCCTTGTTCCCTTTGAATTATTTTGTTGATTGGTCTGTGGAATCAGACCCCATGTAGCCAAGCACCAGGTCATTCACCTACACCTAGGTTAAATATTGTCTCAGGGTGATATGACTGCCAGACAGCTCCCAGGGCCACTGTTTGCTGTGGTGAAGCCCCAGTAGCCATGTGAAGGTACACCTGCACTAAGCTATGTTCATAATGCACACAATAAGCTTTTGAGAATGCCATTCTTTCCGTAACTCATAATGGAAATAGTTTTGCCACGTCAGCTGTCCAGAGATCAGTCTTTAAAGTGTCTGAAATCCATTGTGTGCATTACTCAAGAGTGACTTCTGAAAGAAGATAGTGTCTTGGGTTCAGTTAGAAATGTTCCATATTTTGAATGGTCAAGTGAGAATCCATCTATTCTGTAAACATGCATAACTCTTCCAGTGCAAAGTCTAGGCCCGTAGTTAGAATGTCCCTCCATTGGAAACCGTACTGCCATTATTTGCCTAATCTCATTACTCTGTTTGCTCTCTCTCTCTCTCTGTAGAGTCTGAAGACTGAAGAATGGTCTTCTTTCAAAGGCTTTGCGGAACTCTGACTCTTGAGTCGTCTATCCCCAGGAGAGAAAGGAAGCGTGTGCAGTTGCTAGGGTCACTATTTATACAGTGTCGTCTCCCCCCCCCCCGCTCCCACATGGCTGGAGGAAAATGGCCGCCCAGGTGGATTGTTGTTGACTGGATAAGGGAGCAAGAAATGCCAGTCTGAGGCATCTCATGGACTACAAGGAACAGTTCTTCAATTATTGTATTTTTATTTTTAACCATATCAATAGAAACACACTACAAATCAGAATGTATTTATTATCTGTAACCATTTATTATCCACAACAATTTAAGTTGACCTTTTTACAATTCCTTAAGATCTCCATACTGCTGCTTTTGTAAACATCCTCCCGACCGATTGGTCGTGAAGTAGTTCAATGACAACCAGTCAGAGGGCCTCGTCAGGTCTGTTCAGTCCCAGTGCCATCCTCATTGGAAGCCCACCCACTTTTTTTCGAACAGACTGTATATCCGCATTTCTGGTGAAAAGTCTTACACTAAGTTTTTTTACTTTCCAAATATGAGAATGTGAAAGTGTTCCATCCAGAGATGGTACTGTAGTTTCTTCTATCATACCGTGATTCATCCTTGTAGCCTTCTTCAGCAGTCCTAGTTGGAAATGTCGATGTAATGTTATTTATACGTTTTTCAAACATTTGTCTCTTCCATTTTGGTTTGAATACCTTAGAAGTGTGGTATGTATTGGTCGTTGATGAGAGATCCCAAAGTTCATTTCTACTCACTTTCATTATTTAATGTGTCATTTAAAGAAAAGCACTTTATCTGTACCTTGGTGGCCTGCTGTAAGCTCATTGTCCTTTCACTAACTGGAGTTACAGCACTGCCAGGCAGCGGGAGTTCATATCACGGTTGACTATCGATGGCCTTGGAGAATACTTTTTTTTATTTAAGTTTTGGGACACCAGAGATTGAACCTTTCAGGGGTGGTTGTGTACACTGTATTCTTGCATTTTTGTCTCGGGTGTGTCTTTGTACATTCTTTCAACAGACCCTAGTTCTAGCCCCATCAAATGTTTCCACTGGAGAAAATTGTCAAAAATGTCAAACCCTATGCATCAATTAAAGCTTGATAGTCACTCGAAAATGCTGTAAGAATACTGTGAATTCAACTCTGAGTGTGCTGGTGAAGGGTGCGGGAGATAGGTGGCTACTCTGTATGCTCACTACTGGCTACAGGTTGCAGACTGCAGTCCGGAGAGGGAGAGACTGCAGGATCAACCTTTATTGACCTTGGGAGTTGAAAGCAGCACTGTTGGAAAGAAGGGGGAAGGGAGGGACAGCAGCGGCAGGAACCATGGGTTGTTCAGTAGGCACCAAACAGAAGAAAACAGGCAAGGACTACCTGGACTTGTCCAATAGAAATCGCTTATTTGAGCTTTCTGTTGCAAAACTCTAATGAACACGAGCCAGAGCTCCTGTAGCGTTTTGTGTTCCATTTTGAATCCCTTTGGTTTTCATTGACTCTTTAGGAAGAGTGGGGAAGGAGAGAGTGCCTAGCTCCCCCTTTCACCTGGTTGATGATTAAGATGGAAGCAGATGTCAGGAAATTCCTGTATTTGATGAGCTACATGGCTGTCTGCTGTTGCCCACATTGGTCAATGTTATTGGCTATTTTCTGTTAGATTTTTTTTTACATGTACATAAAATAAAATATACTGGCAATACTTGTGCTGTCTGGTTTGTGTATATTTCAATGTACTGCTATTAATTTTGACTAACTTTATGTAGTTTAGCTCTCACCTGTGTGTCAGCACCACTACTGTGCTGTAAGTCTGGTCTAGCCTGGTTGACCTTTATGCAACCATTCACCACCTCGTTTAACTCAGTTAAGTGAGGCAGTATCTGTTACCTAGTGTAACTCAACTACTTGTCCTCCACTAGCCAGACTAGTCATATGATAGCCATCCTCTCTTTATTATCACAGTGATTTGCTACCAGCTGATTTTGTAAATGGTGGAACTGTTCTTCAACTCATTTGGTGTTTTGTTGATGGTGGTGGAAAACACTGTCTGATGCGCTGCTCCAGAATCTCCCAAATGTGTTCAATTGGGTTGAGATCTGGTGACTGAGACGGTCATGTCATATGGTTTTCATGCTCATCAAACAATTGACCACTTGTGCCCTGTGGATAGAAATGATTCATTATAGGGTGAAGGTGATCACTCAGAATGGCTGTGTATTTATTGGTGTTTACCTTGCCCTCTAAGGGGTTGTGTGGACCTAAATCATGCCAGGAAAATGCACCCCATACAATAACCGAGCTGCCAGAACCCTCATTTTACATTTTAGTAATTTAGCAGACGCTCTTATCCAGAGCGACTTACACTAGTGATTGCATACATTTTTCATACTCATGTTTCCATTATTTTGGCAGTTACCTGTATGTCATTATTGCATAACCAGGGGGACAGCAGCACGCCGGCCAATCCAGGGTTAGGTAACCCATCTCCCAATCAGATCATCTTACCAGGAAGCTCAGCCCACCCCTGACTCCTCTCAAACTACTGACCTGCTCTTCTCCCTGCTGCCAGAGATTTCATAGCTCTCATTCCAAGCTGTTCCCTTTGGCCCTAAACTTGTCCAAATAGGATGAATAAAGACCAAGGCCGGATATTGTGGATAGCTCAAGGCACGGCCCGTTAAAATGTCTATCAGCTATGTTTTTCTGAACAGGCATACCGTAAAGTGTGCTTTTGATAAATGCGTGTGGTTTTTCACCATGGTTATTGCAGTTGTTTGGGAGGTTTTGCCTGCGGGCATTATGCTGACCATCATGCTCAGAGCTGCGCTTGGCTCAGTGTTTGTTTCCTAGCATCCATTCCACCCCCAGACCCAATTCAATGCAAGTGAGGGGAAGGAATGCAGGCTTGCAGCATTTTCTAAACCCTGCGGTGAGAGAGTGTGGTTGCACCAATGGTTCCAAGAATCTGTATCTTTATACTAGGTTGCGCACAGAGGGCCACACAACTCAAACAAAGAGACAGTATTAGGAGCCTTGCAGAATGATGGTAATGATCAATGGGGAAAAGAGAAAAGGTATGTTCCACAGATTGTGATGTCCAGTGAAGTGTAGCCTACATTCTAGCTTCGATTTACCCTAGTGCAGTGGCCATTTTGTAACCAAAGCACCAAAGATTGTCAAGATCAGGTTGGGACCATTCTAGCCAATGGAAGGGCAGATACGCGTGTGAACAACAGGCAATTATCTGTGTAATTATAGCGTCTGTGACAGCATGGGCAGTGCCATTGAAGCTATCTCAATTTAAAAGTAGTACCTTTTCTTCTTAATTGGCTGATTACTCCCAACTCATAGGAATCCCCACCCAGTTGACTACTTTAAAATGGTGGAAGCCCTCAATGTCAATGTCCATGCTAAAATGGGTTATAGCCATGATGAGTACTCTATCTATCTCTGAAAACAGGCACAACTCCAATAGTCGTTTTTTTCAAAGTTGCCGAAATGGCACTTATATCAGTGCATTCATAACAACCTAACCATTACAAAACGTATATTCTATCAAATAAGTCTCAGGTAGCATTAGCAATAAAATAAATGACCTCAATACAAAAATTCCTCACTTCGTGGGCTTATTTTCGTGGACAGATTTTGGGCAGAGTAAAACCTCTTGCTTCGCCTCTTCCTCTCTGACAACACTCAGTTCAGAACCACCTCTGTTCCCATAGCCATATTCCAGTAGAGAAGGATAGGATACTGAATTCCTGTCTCAGCCAGAGAGTCTCTCCCTCCCTCTTGGTCTCTCTTCTGGTGCCCAGCCTAGTGGGACATCACAGTGGGCTTCATCGCTGCTGAGTGGGCCCCAACCATCTGCTCATGTAGAAAGGAGAGGGGAAACAGGGTAATTGGGATTCAACCAGAGGAGCCTGGTGGGAGGAGCTATAGGAGGACAGGCTCATTGTAATGGCTGAAATGGAATCAATGGAATGGTACCAAACACATCAAACACATGGAAACAATGTGTTTGACTCCATTCCATTTAGTCAATTCCAGCAATTACAATGAGCCCATCCTCCTATAGCTCCTCCCACCAGCCTCCACTGGTTTAAATATACAGCTCCTTCTGGTCCTGCATGTCCCAACCAGTCCCCTGGAGCAGGGAAACAAGCTCCATCAAGGTTAACCGCTGTTGATATAAAAACACATGCTCACACAACAAGCACACTGTAATCCCCATACTTCCTGACATTGAACTAAGGGCTTGTTCACATGTGCTATCAACGACCACACATACATAAAGCCCACTCACTGATGCAAAGTTGCAAAGAAAAAGCCATATCTCAGACTGGCCAATAAAAATAAAAGATTAAGATGGGCAAAAGAACACTGGACTTTTTCTTTGCAAATCTGCCTAGGTCAGCATCCTGGAGTCGCCTCTTCACTGTTGACGTTGAGACTGGTGTTTTGCGGGTACTATTTAATGAAGCTGCCAGTTGAGGACCTGTGAGGCGTCTGTTTCTCAAACTCCTCTTTCTATTCTGGTTAGAGCCAGTTTGCGCTGTTCTGTGAAGGGAGTAGTACATAGCGTTGTATGAGATCTTCAGTTTCTTGGCAATTTCTCGCATGGAATAGCCTTCATTTCTCAAAACAAGAATAGACTGACAAGTTTCAGAAGAAAGTTATTTGTTTCTGGCCATTTTGAGCCTGTAATCGAACCCACAATTGCTGATGCTCCAGATACTCAACTAGTCTCAAGAAGGCCAGTTTTATTGCTTCTTTAATCAGCACAACAGTTTTCAGCTGTGCTAACATAATTGCAAAAGGGTTTTCTAATGATCGATTCGCCTTTTAAAATTATAAACTTGGATTAGCAAACAGAACGTGCTATTGGAACACAGGACTGATGGTTGCTGATTATGGGCCTCTGTACGCCTATGTAGATATTCCATAAAAAATCAGCCGTTTCCAGCTACAATAGCCATTTACAACATTAACAATGTCTACACTGTATTTCTGATCAATTTGATGTTATTTTAATGGACAAAATATTGCTTTTCTTTCGAAAACAAGAAAACTTTTGAATGGTAGTGTATATTATACAGTGCCTTCAGAAAGTATTCACACCCATTTACTTTTTCATCATTTTGTTGTGTTACAAAGTGGGATTAAAATGGATTTAATCTACATAAAACACTGTAATGTCAAAGTGGAACATTTCTAACATTCATATAAAAATATATATATATAAAAAAAGTCTAATAAAACAATAATATATCTTAATTAGATATAGATGTAGTCAGAAGTTTACATACACTTAGGTTGAAGTCATTAAAACTGGTTTTTCAACCACTCCAAACATTTCTTGTTAACAAACTATAGTTTTGGCATTTACTTTGTGCATGACACAAGTACTTTTTCCAAAAATTGTTTACAGACAGATTATTTCACTTATAATTCACTGTATCACAATTCTAGTGGGTCAGAAGTTTACATACACTAAGTTGACTGTGCCTTTAAACAGCTTGGAAAATTCCAGAAAATGATGTCATGGCTTTAGAAGCTTCTGATAGGCTAATTGACATCATTTGAGTCAATTAGAGGTGTACTTGTGGATGTATTTCAAGGCCTACCTTCAGACTCGGTGCCTCTTTGCTTGACATCATGGGAAAATCAAAAGAAATCAGCCAAGACCTCAGAAGAAAAATGTGTAGACCTCCACAAGTCTGGTTCATCCTTGGGAGCAAATTCCAAACGCCTGAAGGTACCACGTTCATCTCTACACACAATAGTACGCAAGTATAAACAGGGCCTTGTGAAGATGCTGGAGGAAACAGGTACAAAAGTATCTATATCCACAGTAAAACGAGTCCTATATTGACATAACCTGAAAGGCCGCTCAGCAAGGAAGAAGCCACTGCTCCAAAACTGCCATATAAAAGCCAGACTACGGTTTGCAACTGCACATGGGGACAAAGATCGTACTTTTTGGAGAAATATCATCTGGTCTGATGAAACAAAAATAGAACTGTTTGGCCATAATGACCATCGTTATGTTTGGAGGAAAAAGGGGGACGCTTGCAAGCCGAAGAACACCATCCCAACCGTGAAGCACAGGGGTGGCAGCATCATGCTGTGGTGGTGCTTTGCTGCAGGAGGGACTGGGGCACTTCACAAAACAGATGGCATCATGAGGAAGGAAAATTATGTGGATATATTGAAGCAACATCTCAAGACATCAGTCAAGAAGTTAAAGCTTGGTCGCAAATGGGTCTTCCAAATGGACAATGACCCCAAGCATACTTACAAAGTTGTGGAAAAATGGCTTAAGGACAACAAAGTCAAGGTATTGGAGTGGCCATCACAAATCCCTGACCTCA